CAACCTCCGCCACGGATTCCAGGCGTGGTGAGGGCTGTGTGGTTCCTGCGGGTTTCTGAGGGACGTGGGACACCCTGGGCAGCTGGTTCTGTCACGGAAAAGGCTCGGTATCGGGGCAGGTTTGCAGAAGTGCCGAGCAGAGTCATCCTCTGCGCTGCCAGCACCGGGGTGAGGTCTCTCACTAGAACGTGCGGGTGTTGCCTCCTCGTGTACAGGATTATTGTGGGCGATAGTTGTGAATGGAGTAACCAAGTGCTTTGGTTTTACAAGGAATTGATATTGCCGAGGATACTCTCTCGAGGAGGAGAATTTTCAGCAAGCGAGCCTGATGTGCTGTTCTGTGCAAGGAGGGGCTTCTACTCCTTGATTAAGCCTTGATTTAGAAACAGCCAAAGACACCTAGAGGTGTTACATCTTCCTCCTTGCTAAATCTGTAATTATTTGAAGTTCACACATCCTTCAGAGGTGAGCTGTGCTTTGGGCTGGGAGGAATTAGCTGAGTTGCTCCAGTGCAGGGGTTTGTGCTTCGGGGCCGGCTGAGTGTGGAAAGGCTGTTGCTGTGTGTGCGTGAAAAGTTAGTGTTTTCAGAGGCTTGTTCTACACGATACCTTAATCTACCTTTGCTGTCTGGTTGCTCTTCCTCCTCGTGAGCTGAAGGAAACAAGCTGGGGGTGGTTCTCCTGAGGGTTTGCAATGGGCTGTTAGGGTAAGCGGGAGCAGTGGGTACATGGATCTCTTGCCGCTGCCCTTCTATTAATAATGCTGCCCTAAAGTCGTGTTAAGGCTGTTGGAGTGAAAGTAAATTCAGATTAGACTTTCCAAGAAGCTTCTCATGGCAGGTTTCAAAGTACTCCAGTTATCCACTTAAGTGATGCTCTGTGCTGGGGCTGCTGGAGCTTCCCTGCTAATCTGGTGGCTCTCTCTGGCGTGTCCTCTCCTCGCTGTGGTGGATATTGGCAGGGCGTCAGTAACGAACTGCCCAGGCTTTTCTGCTCACTTGGTGTTCCTTAGGAAAGCACTGGCACTCGCCTTTGCCCTGCAGAGGTGATTCCTGGTGTCCTGCTGTTCTTTGGATCCTGAGCATTAGCGTGGTGCTCTCTTTGGCTTTCCCTGCTGTACGTGCCATGGGTGTATAACCTGCCATGGGTGTGTGACCTGGGTGCCGTTCCTCAGCTCCGCTGTCAGTAGTTAGCAGACAGAGCTAAAGCACAAAGCTGACCTGCTCTGGCTCTGAGAGGCACATTGGAGGAACAGGGTGATGCTAGAGAGCTGTAATTTCCCTTTGTGAGTGAACTTGGTAACTCCTCTAAAAGAAAAATTACCAGCAAAAGGGGTTTTTTACTAACTTCCTGCTTCTTTGGCTTTGTGGTGGTTGAAAGCATAGTTGCAATTTTTAAGGAGACTGATCTGTCTGCAGTAAAACTCTGCAAAGGACCCCTTAAACACCAAAAGAGTGGTAGTGTCAGCTGGGGCCACTCGAGCACACAAAGCTTGGTTATTGGCAGCTGGAGACGTGGGGTGGGTCTTGCCCTGGGATGTTTTGTGGCATCATTTCTGTGAGAAGCACCTGGGCTGCAGAACAGCACTTGGCCTGTCAGAAAGGAAGACCTCACCTTTAAACTACAGAACTAACAGGGAAGGAGGAGAATAACTGGTGCTGGGGTGGCCAGAGAGCTGTGTCACACCCGGGGCTGTTGTCTCCTTCCACGTTCAGGCTCTATGAGCAGTTTTGTCTCAGGGCACTGATTTCTAGTGGTCGTTGCTAGGACTCGGGAAGGCACAGGACTCCAAGAGCTGCAAGTGTTAGCCTGGGCTGCAAACACTCTGCAAACACAAAAGTGAAGTGGATCTTTACTGGGGTCTTGTCTCCTTTCAGCATGCCAATGAAGATGTGGAGAGGATGCTGTTAGGAAACAAGTGTGACATGGAAGATAAAAGAGTCGTCCCTAAAGCAAAAGGCGAACAGGTAAGTGTTGGGCAAAACCTGGCTTATATCAATGTAAGCACATCAGTGCCAGGACCTCCTGCCATCTCCAGGTGGCTGAGATGCCACAGGGGAGTGTGTCAGGGAACACCAGGATTTGCTAACGGTCTGTAAGTCTGGGGAGTGTTTTCTCAGAAGTTGCCATGAATGGAACAAGTTCACCTGCAGTTCATGCTTTCTTTGATAACTAACATTTTTCAGGCATCTTTGAAGGTACTTCTCATGTGACAGGCTTGTGTGGTCTCTGTCGTCTTCTGTTCAGAGACTGACTTGTGATTTAATGCACTTTAATTGCTGTTTCTGAATCATTAAGTTCCAGATCTCCCTTTGTGAGACTTTAGCTGGTACTTCTGGTGCCTGGAAGGGTATTAGGTGTTTATAAACGCCGCTAATCCCGACGGTACAGCGGCACCAGCGGGGTAACACTGCAGTAATGCTAACCACCTTCTTTCTTTCTCTTTTTGGTTTAGATTGCTAGGGAGCATGGTATTAGGTTTTTCGAAACTAGTGCAAAAGCAAATATAAACATTGAGAAGGCATTCCTCACATTAGCAGAAGACATTCTTCGAAAGGTAGGTGCTTACAGGGTTTGTTTGAAAAAAGAAAAATAAATCCTAAAATTTCAACTCCTCTCGCTTTTGGTGTTCACCTGAGTTGTTGCAGCCTTTACCTTTGGTGTGCCAAGACAAAGGGGTCACTGAAGGAGGGCTGTTGTGCATCTGAAGCTCTTAAAGCTTGTTTGAAGTTCCGTTATTGTATCTAGAGAGGGTGGTATTCATCACAGAGCCAAGGAATGTAAACTTGTAGCTGTTTGGCCCTTAAGCTCCTGGTTGTGAGCACTTGGAATCAAAATATTTCATTTGGTGTGGAAGAGAATTGTCCTTTCCCTGCCACAGTCTCCATCGATACACAGCATTGTCTAAAGGCTCCGAAGGTGGGGAGAGTTTAGATGTGGTTGATGGAACAGCTAAACGAGATCTCACTTCTACCCTGTTTCCAGTGATGAGCCCTCTCAGCCTCTGCGTTTTGGTGGAGGTTTTGTTGGAAGGGTGTATCTCAACCGAGAGAAGAACATGGATCACCAGTTCTTCTGCTGCTTGGCCACCCCTCCTGACTCGTACAGTGTGCACAGAGCTTGGAGATATCACTGTTCTTGCATCCTTGAGTAGACAATCCATTGCCTTCCCACAGTTGCCACTGGTTTCTTGAGGAATGAGCTGGGCTGGCCTCATGGGTTGGCTCCTGGGCTGGTTCTAGTTAGTTGATGTGCTCCTGTAGCCAAGGACTTGCTGGACCCAGTAACCCCTGTGCTGGCCCATTCCTGCTTAGGGCCAGGCCGTGCCTCTCCACCTCTGGGTGCTCCATGGAGCTTGAGGGACATGGGTTGGCCAACCATAGCATGTGTGCTCAGCTCCTAAACCTGCGTGGTTTGTCAGTGCCCAGTTTAGCAGTAGAGAGACCCCCTTCCCCACCACTTCTTCTGAACGCGATTGGTGATGTCATCCCAGTTAATTGGTTAGAAATTCAGTGCAAGGTCAACGCTGAATATTTTGACAACCCTTCTGAGTACACTTCTGCTCAACGGCAGCTGCTTTGCTGCTGTAGTTCCAACTTGTTTCTTAACCAGTGTTTGACAAGCTTTGTGTGAGAAACTGGGTGAAAATCTGGTTTTTAGCCTCCATGAACAGGAGCTGAGGGGAGCGAGTCACACTGACTCTTCTGACCTTGAGATTTTTATTTTGGGCCTCAGTGTGTTTATCTGAAGAAGAGGTGGGGGGGTGCTTTGGTGAGGCTGAGCCAAAGAGAATAAGGAAAGGAATTTAGAGACTAAACTGCAGAATTCTGGAGAGTGTTTAGGTTGGTTTCTAAACAGCTGGAAGTGGGTGTTCGTGTCTGATCAAAGCCACTCTGCTGGGGGTTCTGCTCTGACTGAGGTTACATCCCCTGGTGCAGAGGAGCCCATTCTGTCCACCATAGCATGTGTGCTCAGCTCCTAAACCTGCGTGGTTTGTCAGTGCCCAGTTTAGCAGTAGAGAGACCCCCTTCCCCACCACTTCTTCTGAACGCGATTGGTGATGTCATCCCAGTTAATTGGTTAGAAATTCAGTGCAAGGTCAACGCTGAATATTTTGACAACCCTTCTGAGTACACTTCTGCTCAACGGCAGCTGCTTTGCTGCTGTAGTTCCAACTTGTTTCTTAACCAGTGTTTGACAAGCTTTGTGTGAGAAACTGGGTGAAAATCTGGTTTTTAGCCTCCATGAACAGGAGCTGAGGGGAGCGAGTCGCACTGACTCTTCTGACCTTGAGATTTTTATTTTGGGCCTCAGTGTGTTTATCTGAAGAAGAGGTGGGGGGGTGCTTTGGTGAGGCTGAGCCAAAGAGAATAAGGAAAGGAATTTAGAGACTAAACTGCAGAATTCTGGAGAGTGTTTAGGTTGGTTTCTAAACAGCTGGAAGTGGGTGTTCGTGTCTGATCAAAGCCACTCTGCTGGGGGTTCTGCTCTGACTGAGGTTACATCCCCTGGTGCAGAGGAGCCCGTTCTGTCCGTGCTCCTGGTCAGCTGGAAGGTGGCTGCTTTGGAACAACCCCTCTTTATCCCTAAATTGCTCTCTGGGTTTGGAAGGTCATTAGTTCACCTCATTTACCTCCAGCTTGTGTCCCTTGTAGGCTGTGACCCACTTGCTCCACCAAAGCCCCGGTGTTGGCTCCAAGAACAGGATCTAGAAATAGGTTGAGTTTACTTTGGGGTGGTCCAAGGCAAGAAGCTGGGTTTTTCCCAGCTTTCCCGTTGTTGGTTGTTTAAAACAAAAAACCCAGCCGTAAATTGGTTTTGCAGCCTCTTGCTGGAGGGGGAGGAGGGTTCCCTGCATTTCTGGGGAGCTCTTTGCCCGTAGTTGATTCATAATATTTTTGATGATGGAGTCTTTCTTGTAAGCCTCTGTCTCTGCAGCTCTGAACACGTTATTTTGGGATGTCTGGAGAGTCCTCTAACTCGTTGTTTTTCCCTTGTTTCCTTGCAGACCCCTGTAAAAGAGCCCAACAGTGAAAATGTAGATATCAGCAGTGGAGGTGGGGTGACGGGCTGGAAGAGCAAGTGTTGCTGAACCTTCTCCTCTCTCACCAATCGCCATCCACCGCCCCTTTTTTCTCGCTGCAAAACAAACCACTCTGCCCGTTTTTAACCTTAAACCGATGTTTTGTTCCTCATCTTAATGAGCTCCCGTCTCCCTTTGTTCTCCCGGTTAGGACAGCTTGCCTACTCTCATTTTCTCCACGACATGTATAGGAAAATCATCTCCCTCACTTCAATTTATTATTTTTTTTTTTTCATGTTACCTGCTCAACTTACCACAACGTTTTGGTTGTATTATAGTCCCGTTCCTCCTGACATTAAAACATATAGCAATCATATTCAACTCTATTCTGCAAATTGTATAAGAATAAAAGTTAGAATTAACAATTTATTTTGTACAACAGTGGAATTTTCTGTCATGGATAATGTGCTTGAGTCACCATATTCTCTAGATGCATCAGCAAAAGAGCCAGGAAAACACTCATTTTCGCCTTGAGTCTGTGAATGGGGTTTATTTTGTCCTGTGCCTTATGTGGAAAGGAACTTCTGTTTTCATTTTTTTATTTTTAATTTTTAAAATTTCTTTTCTTCTGGTGGAAGCATGTGCAGGAGACATACCATCCATACTTGACCATTTTTAAAATTACTGAACTCTTTTTGTGATTGCTTTCTGTAACCGTTGGTGTAATGCATCGAGGACAAAGGGTGGTGCAAAAACAAAAACAAAACAAGAGAAAAAAAAAGAATGCCATTTAATCTGCTGTGTCTCCTTTTTGGTGATCTGGCCATTCGAACTCTTCCTGCTGCCGGGTTGTTTTTTTCTTTCCCCTCACTCGCGGCTCTTTCCTCTCGCCTGCATGCTGCTTTTATTTGCATTTCTTCATGGTGTGATGTGTTAATTAAAA